TCTAGTTTAGATAGCTTCTGGTAGTCTGAGTCTCATTCTTGTAAAATTTTTGTAATTTGGCTCTGGCCAGAGAAACCTATAGTAGATTTTCAATACAAAATATTAATTAAGATAAAGGCAAAACTTTACCTTAAAAAAAAATAATAATAATAAAAAGATTTACAAATGAATTTTAAATTGAAAATTTATATAAATCATCACTTAAGGTTGATTTATTCATATGTATAAATGGTCTTTTTCATATGTGACACCCCCATATAGGTGGTTATAGAGGAACGCAACTGTAATTAGATTTTTTCTAGTGATGTGAGTTGGTAGATACCGGTAGGTATTTATGATTGGTATCTACCAGTAGATACTGTTAGTTGCCGTTAGATCAATAATATGTAAGGGTAAATATCAGTAACTAACAATATGTTAACTTTTTAAATCATCATAAACTTTATGATTAGATACTAGAGCTTCGATCCTATTTTTGACAGGCAATCCAGATTCTATTAAATCCGGATTGAATCTGCGTTAGATTATATATAAAGCTAGCTTTGTAGGTTCGTTAATTAAGTTCTTTTGACCAATCCGAGAAAAAATCTCCGATCTAAATATCTCTGGATTTAAAGATCAATCCAAATAGTCGGATTAAGGATTGAAGCTCTATTAGATACTAATCATACGTCTAGCATCTACCAGTAACTATCGGTAGACACTAGGCTGTTTGAAAATTCACATTACTAGTTTTGTCATCAATAGTTAATTTAATTTTTTAATTTCTTATATTCACAGAATGTGGAACCACTCTGAATCATTGATGTGACAAAAAACTTCGAAATATTAAAAAATGAAGTGCATAAGTTAGCATTATTGGATTCAGAAAAAGAGAAGAACATGTGGCGAGTTGTAAAAAACAAGTTAAATGAAATAAACATGGAGGAATTAGATATGATCATCAATTATGCTCAGGAATTTTAGACGATAGTTTGGAACTATTTACTACTATACCGAATGTACTTTTGGATACTTTTAAAAAACCAAGTAAAAAATTCTAATTGCCAGAGAGTATTGAATTAAAATACATTTGCGAGAAATTTATTCAAAAAGAAAAAGAAAAGTGTCTCAACCCTCCTCAAATATTGAATGATACAATATTTGGTAAATTTTTAGACAAGCCTGAGAAATTGCAAGAATTAACAAATCAAATGTTAAGAGTATTAAGTCAGGTTTATAGTTCACCTAAGTGGAAGACATATACGGGGTAAGGCTATCCAGCATAAATGAAGAATCGTATGTGTATGATATCTTATCACCATTAATAAATATTATAATGTGCGATTTACCAATAGATTCAGATATATGGGGGTATGGTAAGTATAGTAATTTTTATGAAATATTATACTAATGTGTTCCAGTTGCTTAGGGTTTTTGACATAAGGGTCATTGATGCGCCAATTATTTTATGCTAAGAATCCTAATGATATTAATATTATATTTTTAAATTAAAAGAGGAGAAAAGGCTAGTTCAGCAAGTGCCGAGAGAAAGGGATCCTACAGATAAGCAAAACGCCCTGATTATATGGTTATTGCTCAAATAAATAACAAGGAAGTTGAAATTGGATATCTTGAAACAGGACGTTCGAAGTCTTCTCTTGATAAACAAATACAAAACCACAAAAAACTAAACAGGTTTGGTAAGGATTCTATTGATGCAACTAGGTCAGCGAGAAACAAAAGAATGTTTGAAAAATTGGCATTGGATTATATGTCAATATTTACAATTAATGTCACTAGTGATATGATAGAATTCCACTCTATGTGTAAAGAATCTGGCCTATATAAAGTCTGGTTGCTCGATCAAGTAAAGATCTCTTAAATATCCTATCTGCAGAACCGAAGAATGTTTATTCTCTCATCCATAACCTACTTGTGTTTAGAACAGCAATTGCATGTACTATACGTAAAATACTGCATGCCACTGATGATACTGTAGAGGTAATGTCAACTATCTCAACATCATCGGCTATGTCAGTCGATTCATCAACAACTACTGTCGCATCGCCATCACATTACTCATCTTCATCGAAAAAAAGAAAGTCTAGAAACAATAAAAAATAATTGATATATTTTTTATATACATATGGGCTAGATGCTGAAAAAAGAAATCAAATTGACAAAAAAAAAGTGGATCAAATTAACAAAAAAAAGATCATTAGAAAATCAATTTTTATATTATAAATCATAAACTAATCCTGATCTTATTCTAAATTGATTTATATAAAAAAAATTTCTTTTGAAAAATTGTCAATTTGGTCCCTTTTCCAGCACCTAGCCCATATCTTTTATTCTATTTAAATTAATAAAGCTGGGTCGATTCAAATATTAATCTTGTTTACTTTGTGCATATGTATTTCGGCATTCTATTATATTCATGAAATGTGTTGTGGGAGAAACTTCTAAATAGAGTTGGTGGCATGGTATACCTTAAAGGTGTGTCTAAGTTATTAATATAGCAACCTTTGCATAGTCAGATCTCCTTAAATGCATATTCTAAGCATGGGTATATAAAAACTTCTCTAAATGCATGACCTTGTTTAGCCTCAACTCATATGACACTTATAGATTTTTATCTCTCTAAATGCAATACCTTTCTAAATACAAGGTTTTTTGGTCGCTGCTCCTTGGATATGCATTTAGAAAGGTTTGAATGTATATGAAATTTCTTTAATTTTATAAATTATATTAGCGAATTATAATATCTAGAAAGGACATACCCGAGGTATGGAGGGCACACTCTAGATGAGGACATGGCCATAAATTTCCTGTGCGCCCAACCTTATCTTGAGACTTGGTGAATATAGATTCACCTGAAATCTAAATTTATAACTTGGCAAAACTTCCAAAACTGGTAAAACCTAAAAAATTACAAATCCTCTGAAAGACCCGAAACCTAAAAGTAAAATTTGTTCTTTCCAATAATGGAGAAAAAAATACAAGTTGTTGAATATAGTTGATTCTAAAAACCATAGTCGAGAAATTACTACTATCCTGCATTCTTGTTCATTGGTAATTGTCGCATCTTTTTATTAGATCATTTATTACATCATGTAATAAATTGTATAATAAAAAGGCGCAATAATTACCGGAGTCTATCACATGATTATTTCTAGAATGCTAAACACAAACGTTCTAGAATGAAATTAATCACTCGCAAAATACGTTTATCACTCGTAACTTTATAATTAAATTTTTTAACATCTCAATATAAGGTTTTTTAATTTGCTTTAATAAAATAAGTGTTAAACCCAAGTTTGATGATGTTTTATTATTATATATTCACTTTGGTATAATTTATCTAGGTATTTATGTCGCATAGGTTTATTTACTATATTGATATTATAAGTTGTAATATAAAAATGATCTATATATACTCTACCCTTAATTACTTCATCAAATATCAATATTTAATCAAGTGACAAACCAATTGTTTTTTTTGTTTTTTTTTTGTAATCAAGGTTAGCCTCTTTGGCTCGTCGCTTTTATTAGATTATAGAATCATGTAGTGCCCTTTCAAGGGGGCCCCAGACAAGTACATTCTGATGAGAGTGCATTCAGCTATATCTACACCTTTTGAGTGCCTAATTAAGTAGTTATACTAAGTACTACACTAGATGCCGTACCTATAACCCACTATTATTTGGATTATCCAATTAAACCCTCTGATCCGAGTTTCCTATGCCAATTCATCTAATCTCACCCAGAACATGCGATATATTAGTTAGTCCAAGTTCCAGGATTGTTGCAGACTACCTATAGGACTACCGGCTTTTTACCAATTCATCCTTGAGTGCATCACCTGCTAGAATAGTCCGGTACCCACTATTACTATATTATCTAGTCTACTTCAATAACTTATGCCTAGGCCGAGATCAAGTACTTGCGAGCCGAAGCCACTACCGTTACTTACTCTGCTCTTGTAGAGTTCACCCAAACCCCGGTACCTCCCCTTCAAGTCAACCCGGTACCTTCCCTTTCAGTACCCCCTAGCCAGTCTCCCTAAACTACCAATCCAGATGGCCCAGATGGGACACCTATCCCTTGGTATCTGCACTGCAGATCCTTTTCCTCCGGCGATTCCAGCAGCCTGGTTGGTGGAATATCTTCTTTCTGAATACCTGGTCCTCGTTCAGTTATGCCAGCCTCAGGTGAAGCCTATCTAGTAGCCACCGTCAAAGGTTTGTGCTACCTCTCTATTCGGGTCTTGCCAAGCGGGCATCCATCTTTCCAGTTCCCTGAGTTTATACGAACACGAGGTCTTATCTTGGGTTTGCACCGACTAATACCGGCTTGCATGCCTTCGTATAACTTATATGTTGCACAAATGCCCCATGATCTCCCAATCTTGTTGGTGCTACCAAGGTTACAGAGATCCTGTTCCAACTGATCATTGAAAGACAGTAGCCGTTATACAAGCAAAATATTCAAAATTTCGCTGTCGGTGGGTTTCGAACCCCCATCTGTCAACATACCGCTTGGGGGTGCGACAACTTAACCACTTCACTAAGTCGCCACACCTAGTTAATTTTATTTATATTATATTTTATTAGGCAATTTTTATTAGTTATATTTTATTAATTATTTTTATTATATATTTATTATATTTTTTTTTAAATTTTATTATATATTTTATATTATTATTGTATATTTTATAGTATTATTAGTTTTTGGTTTTGGGTCTATAGCTTATTGGTTAAGCTCCCAAACCTGACAGACAAGGTCGATGGTTCGAGTCAGGCTAGTAGCAAATTTTTGAATTTGTTACTATAACCTTAATGAAGCCATAATCAGATGTAAAGCTCTGTAAAAAGTCTAAGTGCAAGTACGGTTTTGGAATAGAAATTCCTGAAAGAAGCCCTGATCATGAAATGCAGGCATTATATATGACAGTAGCGTCACAAAAGGTCTAGGCTGTAGAAGATCCTGTGAGTTAGTCGTCTGGTTGGAGTGACTTAGAGGCAATATCAATATCCCTTTACCTCTATATTAGGCAATACCAATATCTTTGCATCCAACTTATAGGGTACTTGCTTGAAAGGATAATCAACAGATCGTACGTATTAGTCCTAATTTAGAAATAGTGCTGGGTACTTGCTTAGGAGAGTTATACAATACTACTAAAACTGGAATGGTGAGAAAAGCAGTGAATATGTAAAAGGGCTGTAGTAAAGGATTGGTTTTATCTAAACAAGAAGCACCTCTGGCATCATAGAACAACTAGCTAAAGAAGGTAATTTTATAGAGGCAGGCGAGCTAATCTAGTACATATAAAAGAACTAAGTCAGAGCTCTGATCATACCTATTGTTAAAGGGTTGTAGCCTTCTTAGTAAAATACAACCAAGTAACAAGGTCATCCAGTATAGTGATTGACTATTACAAATATATATAGGGTAGAGGTGTAGTTGTTTACTTAACTACACAGCAGCAGGCAAATGGTTCGAGATAGTAACAGTATATAAGATAGCTTTATTTAATACAAGAATGGTGATAAGCCTTGCCTGTAGGAATTACCCTAGAGGAAGAATATTACACTTTACAAAATAAGAAGGGGTAAAGGATATCAAAGTCTAAGCAAAGTGTAGGAACTTAAGAATTGGCAGGAAGGGGGAAAAGGCACTCTTTATATATCTTTTCTGCCCAAAGCAAAGGCACACAGCATGCAAAGGGACATTAGAGAATGAGTAACATTAGTGGAGGAAGTTGGGAGATTGTGTTGGAAGAAGTTGGGGGATTGTATTGAGGGAAGTTGGGGAATTGTATTGGGGGAAGTTGGGGAATATAAACATTACTCGATTTGTTTATATTTATTTATTGTTTGTGAAGGGAAAACTGGGGAGAGGAACCTGGGGGACTTTGCGACACAATGTGGGGCTTGCGACGCGATACCTTGTGTTCAAAACACTTAGGATTTCGTGTGGAGGAATCTGGGGGATTCCGTGTAGAAGAACTTGGGGGAAATTGTGTTACTCTTTCGTGGTACCTTTTGTATAACCTAAAGTACTCTTTTATGTAACCTTGTATTACCTTAGATCATGTGAGGTCATGTGACTGCGCCACACTTCCAATAGCCAATCAAATTATTCCTATATATCGACTATAAAATTACTATCTAATATAATATAATAATATACAATATAAAAATATACTAAATATAACTAAGAATAAACTAACTAATAATATATATAATAATGAATAATACTAAGATAAAAATAACTTAAATTTCTATACCAAATGCTACACTAAAATCTACTTTGTAATATATTCCTCTCCTTAAGATTTTTACTCCGTAAAAATCTTTTAACTTTTGTACTATCTACAAAAATCAATAAGCCGATTAAAATGTGTTTCACTCAGATCACTAATAGTTTTGAGGGTAATAGTCTAGGTGCAATAAATTTGTTCATATCCAATAGCATTGAATAAGTGGTAGGTCCTTTTCCAAGCTCGTAGCTAGTTTATTTTAATTTTGTGCTGAGAATAGGGGTTATCAATTAGTAAAGCTTCTAGATGATAACTATATGCAAGAGCTTGCTCCCTGTTGTAATTTTTCCTGTTAGTAACATTGGCATATGCTTCAAGAACCTTTTTGAAACATTGTTTTCATGGAGTAGTCACAGTTGCAAGTACGGTAATAGGATGAATTTCACTAGAGGTTGTGCAAATTAATTCAGCCTTAATTTGTCTAAGTGGATCACTGTTGTTTGCAGAGGCTGCATATGATTGATCCATATTTAGAATAAAAATAGTTCTGGTATATTGCAGTTGCTTACACAATTCTTGAAATTCACACACCTTGTAGTAGAGTTGAGGGGTAATCCAAGAAGGCAAGTTGTTGGGTAAGAACATTTTTGTTAGAGAGATTTGGTTGGTATGTTGTAATTATTAGAAGAAGAGGTGTTGGCAGAATTAAAGTGAAGGAAGGCAATTTTGGGTCCTTTATATATCTGTTAAAATTTTGTTCACGCTTCTTAGTTGAAACCGTGTCATAAAATCGTTCAACCCATGCTGTCTTATTGTATCGCCCATATGCAAAATTCGTTTCATACATGCTGTTTTCTTG